GACCCGACCCGCCCGTTAGGGCCCGCCCGACCCGACCCGACCCGCCCGTTGGGGTCCGCCCGCCCGACCCGACCCGACCCGCCCGTTAGGGTTCACGCGTGTCAAGCGTACGCGCACCATACTTTAATGTCGCGCCGCCCGTTAGGGCCCGCCCGACCCGGCCCGACCCGCCCGTTATAAGGTCCGCCCGACCGACCCGACCCGACCCGCCCGTTAGGGTTCACGCGTGTCTAGTGTACACGCACCATACTTTAATGCCCCGGTCACGGTCACGGTCACGGTCACGGTCACGGTCGCGGTCACGGTCACGGTCGCGGTCGCAGTCACGGTCACGGTCACGGTCACGGTCACGGTCACGGTCACGGTCGCGGTCACGGTCACGGTCACGGTCACGGTCACGGTCACGGTCACGGTCGCGGTCACGGTCACGGTCACGGTCACGGTCACGGTCACGGTCACGGCCACGGTCACGGTCGCGGTCGCGGTCATGGTCGCGGTCACGGTCACGCTCCCTTCTTCTTCTTCCCGCGCACGCCAGCCTGCGCTGCAGGACGGTCGCGGTCGCGGTCGCGGTCGCGGTCGCGGTCACGGTCACGGTCACGGTCACGGCCACGTTCCCTTCTTCTTAACATCAAGGAAGAAGGCGAACGTGACTTGATCCAGCGCCGCGCTCACTCCCGGCCCCTACCACCGTCCGCATCACATCCCCCACTGTTGTTCCCAGCACCACTGTCCTCACCACCACTGTCCCCGCTGGTTCCACCACCGTCCCTGCTGTCCCCACCAGTGCCCCCGCCACTGTCGCGCTGTCCCCACTGTCCCCGCCATTGTTTCCACAACGGTTTCCCCACTGTCTCCGCGGCCCCAACCGCTGCCCGACCATCCCCGCTGTCCCCACTGTCCCACTGACTCCTCCGCTGTCCCACTGAGCTGTCCCAGTGTTCCCACCGCTGCCCCCACTGTCCCCACCGCTGTCCCCGCTGTGCCTCTGTCCGATTGTCCCGCCGCCGTCCTCGCCACCGCCTTCGCCACTGCCCCCACCACCATTGTGCCCTCCACTGTCCCACCCTCCTCCTCATTCCCGCTGTCCCCACGCCACTGCCCTCGCCACCACCGTCCCCACCGCTGTCCACTGCCCCCACTGTTCCCACCATTGTCCCCACCACTGTCCCCGCCACTACCGTCCCCACCGCGGTCCCACTGTCCCACTGCCCCCCCCACTATCCCGCGGCCCCCTCGCCGCTGCCCCCACCGCCACCGCCCCCGCCACTGTCCGCACCCCCGCTCGGTTTTCGAGGGGGGGGGGTTCGAACCGGCAGCGCCCCCTTCGGTTTTTGAAAGGGGGGGGGGGGGGGCTCGAACGGGCGGCGACCCCGCCCCCATCGCCCTTTTCATGATGAGCCGGGGGAGGGGGGGGTTCGAACCGGCAGTGACCCCGCCCGGTTTTCCGGAGGGGGGGGGGGGTCGAACCGGCAGTGACCCCCGCGAGTTTCCCGCCAGCAGCGGTAGAACACGCTCTTTCAAATTTCGAAGTAATCGTTGTAACTACCTGCAGATATCCCTCATTGGCCAGTGTCGCCCATCCTCTCTACAAGCAGGCAGCTCGTCTTTGTCGTCATATTGATTATATTATGAGGGAGCGCTCGCTGGTCTTTCTGCTGCTTGTACGAGTTGCTTTCCTGCTGCCCCACATGCGCTGCGAAGCACTCCTGCAATGCAGCGCGCGTGGCCGCTGCGCCAGGGAGGCCGCCTTTTTCCGATTCCATAAATTGATCGCGCGGCAGATTCGAGGCCAGCAGCGCACCCGCCATGCTGCTGAAAATGGCCTCGGCGCACCCCCGCCCGTTTGTGTTCGCCGGTCGCCATCCTGCCCTGATGGGACCTTCAAGATTACAACTACCCTTCTGCGGTCTGCCCCCATCCCGATTGCATCCATTCCACCTGGCAACGCCATCATCTCCTTCGGCCTGTGACACACGCAGAAGATGTCGATCTGGCACCTGTGCGCACAATTATGTGCGTCAACTTATAGCTGTCTTGCATGGGGGACTATGCGATTGCAGCTGCAGGCGTCATCTGGAAACGTCAGTTCCGCAAGAAAAGCGGCCAACGAATATCTGCGATCATTTCGCTCCTCCATCCCATGGACGCCAATGAACTGGTTATCGCGTGAATCGCCGCCAATTTCCAACGCGGCGTTCCCATCGCCAGCTGCCGCAAACATCTGGCCATTGTGGCTCCGCCTGCAATCGGGGGTGGTCCAACTTTGCGCATGCCGCCTGCGTCTTCAGCGCCTGCTGGAAATACACGCGTGAAACATTCAACGTCAGCTCGTGTGCCAAGATGGCTACTCCATTTCGGTCGATCGCCCCTCCAACTCTCAAATTGACGTGGCTGGTTCAGTTGCGACTTGTTCCTCCTCCGCAGACCGCCGGGACTCGCCAACCAGAACAGTGTCTCAATTACCTAAAATTTGCAAGTCAACAAGCACGTCTTGGAACCTCTTCTCGATTTTCATTCATTGGGCGCTTTTCATGAAAAGTCGTAAAAATGTGAATGATGCCGTCGGTTCTCTGGTTGGCTCCATTTCCTTCCGCTGCACTGTAGATGTCGCCGTTTTGTCGTAGCCATAGGCCCGTGGCTTCGAAAGAAAGCAGGCTGGATCATCTCCGCTCACCATCGTTAACTCGCCGCATCCACCTCCGCAGCCTTCACACATTGGCTAAATATTGCCACGACATTTGGTGCATTCTTAGAACACCGCCTCGGGGCCTACTCGTCTTCATCCCTCCTCCCGCCACGCTTCTCGAACCATTCCTCGTTCTCTCCCTGCGCGTGGTCATTGATGTGCGTTCCACTCCCCCATCTGGCTCAACGGCGTTGGCCGCGGCGGTCGCTGCCACCTTGCCCTTCACCTTGACAACGCCCTCATTATCATTATTATTATTATCTCTTTTTTTTGACAAAACAAATTGATGGTTCTTGCCCTTGTCGATGAGGCGTCCCTTGATCAGACCAAGTGATATGTCTCGGCCTCGTGTTCGGACAAACTTTATTGTCCGAGAGCCTAAGCTTGGTGCCTCCCCCGATGTCCCTCGACGACTCTCGGATACGCTGGTAGAAGCGTTTCTTGACCGCCTCCGTGGTGAACTGGATGACTCCGATGCGCGCCGGGTCCTGAAAGCAAACCTCTCTTCCACGTTGGTCCTCCTCATGTTCCCCTTCAGGAGCCCCTCCACCTTGTCCACCAACTGCCGCTGCTCCAAGCCCTCCGGGGAGCCTCCGACGATCATCTGGCGGGGTCTGGAGTTCTCCTCGTTTCCTTTTGTTGATGGCTGTTCCTGTCCCGTCTTGTGGATGCGCCCCATGTCGGCTCGAGGACTGCGAGCCGACTCCATGGCTGAGCTGGCCATCTCTGAAGCCTTCTCCGCCTGCGCCCAAACGGACCTTATCTCCTCCGTGACCTTGGATACTTCTTTCCGTAATAGCCCCCGTTGCTGTAGCATCACCTGGGGAATCGATCGAATATCCTTCATCCAACGTCCTTCCATATCTTCCTTCCATGTCCCCTGGCCATCAGCTCGTCGTCCTCCTCATCCTCCCATGTGTATGTGCCCGTAGTGCGGTTGAAACGAGGCGCACTACCAATAATATGCCAATCCCCTTTCTTCCCATCCGGCGTGCTGCCCATGGGGTGCTCGCGCTTGTCGATCCGACATGAACCGCAAAATGTGCCGTCAACACGCTCCAAAAGGTACAGCAACACGCCAACAGCACGCGTTGCACGCGGGATAATTTCAGCGCGTGTGTCGCACCCAATGTCGGAAGTACGCTTTAGCTTATCAAGGCAACCGTTACACCCCCCCCCCCCCCACAATTCCGAATCATCTCCACGCTTGTACCAAAGGCCGCCATCCAGTTCCGAAGCGCAGACTATGAAGAGTCCAAGCAAGAATTGCTCGGTGCGCTCGTACATGAGGGAGCCTGGGGTTCCGATATGGTACTCCTCCGTGCTGTCCTCGGCGCCCTTCCTCTCGTGAAGTTGGCTCCTCAAGCGTCGGCGAAATACTCCACGATCACCTCCCAATGGAGTGCCAGGCTGTCGAATGTGCTGCCGACCTGGAAATGGGGCAACGGCATCGTCTGGCGCAGCAGCGTGGGCCATCATGCGCGATGCAAAGTAGGAAGTGGTGCGGGAAAGAAGGTTGATCCTGTAAGAGTGTGAGGGCCTTGAGCGCAAATCCGCATAGGCCACGACAACGCTGGCCCCCAAAACAGCCCTCGAAAGTGGCGACAGGAGGCACAGTTCGAAGCAACCCAGCAGGGATGGCGAGGTAGGAGGCAGGTATGAAGTAGGAATGAAGGAGGAAGGAAGTGGAGAAGGAGGAGGAGGAGGAGGAGGAGGAGACCAGAGTGCTCTAATCAAAACGAGAACCCCACGGAGGAGGTCCGCACTGATTTTTTCGGTCGGCGCTGAGCCCCCCTGCAGGCGCCTCCAGAGCCACCCCTGGCCTCCGAAAGTCTATGTTTGGTTGTGCAGCTGTTTCTTCGACGCTTGAAGCTCCAGAGCGAACCAAAACAAGCTTGAGCAGGCAACGCCCAGCTGGACTTCTGCACGCGCGCCCCGCGCCGCGCGCGCTCCAGAGCCTCCACAGACCGGGGGTGGGACGGGCGCAGGCCCACGTATAGACTCGGCCGCAACACCCCGTCGAGAACCGACAAAAGGCAACTCGTTCATCGCCTTGTCTCGGCGGGGGCTCCATCGACCTCCGTTCCACAGATCCCCAGAGGTCCCGTGTGGCCTGCAGAGAGAGCGGAAAGGCGCGCGGCGCAACTCCCTCCGCGCCTTTGGCGGACGACCCTGCTGTCAAGGCGCCCCCCCCCGTCCCTAAGCTGGACGCTTCGGCTCGGCATTCCCTGCCACGGTGTGAGCAGCCGCGTCTCCTCCGTCGTCGCCTGCTCGAGTACCCTCCGCTGGAGGAGCGAGCCGGGCCCCCCGCGTCCCTGGAGAACCCCGCAAAACGGATGAGCAGTAAACTGTTCGAGGTCCACGTGGATCTCTTGGGTTGGAACTAGACCCCCCGCCCACACGCCTTCCTCGGCGGCCGGAGTGCGCCGATAGCGGCGCGTGGGGAGGGGCTTCCAGCGCCGACCCGATGCATCCGTGCAGACCTCCGACAATTTGCGGCAGGTTCACGTCGCGCTGTCGGCGCTGACTTCTGACACCGCGCCTGGAAACTACCCTCTCATGAAAAACGGCCCGGGACCAGGTCAGGCTGGCGCAGGCCCGCGAAGAGTGCGGCCGTGACGCCCCCTCGAGAACCGAGAGATGGCGACTCGCTGATCGCCTTGGCAGGGTGGGGCATGCGATCAACCTCCGACGACAACTCAGGACCCATCGGTGTCGGCCGACTCCGGGCCACCGGCCGCAGTCGACCGCAGACGGCCCGCCCTGGGGTCGCCGCCGCGCCAGCGCGGCGCGAGCCTGCCGTGCGTCCGCCCGTGGTCGTTAGGAGCTCCTCGGGCCTCCGCTGCGGCGGGGGGCGGCCCGCGTGCCCCCTCCTCGTCCGCGGGCTGCTGCCGCTGCTGCTGCTGCCCCTTCTCGGCCAGCGGAGCGTCCAGGGGCAGCCCGCGGGGGGGAGGCGCTGGGGCAAGGGGGGTGGCCCTCCAGGGACGAAGGCCATCGAGGAGAAGGGACGAGGACGAGGAGAAGGAGACATGATGAGGGAGGAGACAGCATGGTGAGAGATGAGGTTCTGCCCCCACCCTCCTCCTCCAGCTACCCCCCTCCCTCTTCATGCCTCCTGCTCCGTCTCCTCGTTCCTTTTCTCTTCTCTCCTTCTTCTCCGCCCCCTTCTCCTCTTCCTTTTTCTCCCCATTATCGTGATTCCCCCCCTCCTCATAAATCCAATCCATCCTCGACCATCTCCCCCTCCTCCCCCTCCTCCCTCTCCTCCTCCTTCTCCGTCCTCCTTCCTCCTGCTGCTGCTTCTCGTCAGCCTTGTATTCCCGCCCCAATCCTCTTACATGTCAGGCTCCCGCGTGTAGTTCACCTCGTGCATCCTGCTCCCTGAACCAGAGCTCCTCCTTATCCTCCTGGCCCCCTTTGCGGTTCTCCTCATCTCTCGGCTCCCTTCCTACCGCCTTCCCCTCGGCCTCATCATTATCACCCATGGCCCCCCTTCCCTCAATCCTATCCTCAGTGTCTCTCCTCCCTCGTCCTCCTGCTAAGCATGCAATGCTCACCCTCCTCCTCCTCCTCCTCCTCCTCCTCATACTCCTCCGTATTTCCTCTCCCTCGATCTCCTCCTACCCACTTCTCCCCCTCCTTCACTCTCTCAAACACCTCCTCCTCCTTCGGCATCCCACTTCCTTGACTCCTCGCTGTCACACCCCCAGACGTGTCGGCAGGGCGGATCGGGCGTTTCGCCTGCGACGTCCTCGCAATTGGTTGTCCTGAAGCGTGAATTCTGCAACAATTATGAAGACGGGTGGTTTGTTTCAAAATGGCGTTTTCGCCTCAACGCCGCGCACCGTCGTCTTCAAAGTTTGCACTGTTTCAAGGATGGAGGGCGAGTTCTCGAAATGCGGCTCTCGCCTCAGCGCCGCGCTCATTCGTCTTCAAAGTTTGTAACAGCTTGGCGGATGAAGGGCGGGTTGTTTTGAATGTGTGGCTCTCGTCTTAGCGTGGCGTTGCTCGTCTTCTGATTTGGAAACGTTTCGCGGATGGAGGGCGTTTTGCCCAAACTGTGGCTCTCGTCTCAACGCCGCGCACATTCGTATTTAAAGGTCTGCAGCGGTTTCAGGGATTCGTATGGTTGAAGTCCCAGGAACTAGGTTCTGGCAAGATTTCGGATCGTCAGGACCCAATGGTCACACTGATTCGCGGTGTTGAAGTCCCATGAACTCTGTTCTGGCACGCTTGAGAATTGTCCAGACGCAACAGCAACGTTGATCCGCGGCGTCGAAATCACAGGAACTGTGATTAGTACAAGTGAAGATTCTCAGCACGATGTGAGGACTCTCACAGTGAGGGCCATTTCCCGCGACGAAAATAACTTCATGTAGCGACCCATGACACGACAACTTGGAGGGAGGGTTTAGTCTAACATCGTTGACGCGTATTGGGTTTGCACTGGTCCTGCTCCCCCTCCTCCTCCTCCTCCTCCTCCGCCTCCTCCTCCTCCTCCTCCTCTCTCCTCCTCCCTTCCCTCCCACCAAATTGCTCTCGTTTTCATTTTAACTCGCCTCCTCCTCATCCTCCGTGTCATATCTCTTCTCCATATCCTGCCCCTCTCTCCCCTCCGGCTCCGCCTGTGCCTCCCTTTCCCCTCCGGGAAGGCCCGAAGTATGCACCATGCCGTCTGGTCGGCCAAGGGGCTCGGTGTATAGACGCCCCAGCTTCCCTAGCTGTGGGACGCTGGATCGTCTAATTATGCACATGGTTAATCTGCCGAACTCCTTGGCTCCGTGGCCGACCAAGCGACGTAGTGCATCTGA